TTTAATTTTTTTTTTATTTGTTCCTCCTGAGTTCCCTCCAAAGCTCTCTGTTCAGCCAGGCTGGTTTTCTTCCCTGCTGGCTTATCTTCCAGCACATGAGGACAGCCTGCTCCTGCGCCTTGAAGATTTCTGTTTTGAAGAATGTCCAGCCTTTCTGGACACCACTGTCCTCCAGGACTGTCTCCCAAGTGACTCTCTCAATAGGTCTCCTAAACAGGCCCAAATCTGCCCTCTGGAAGTCCAAGGTGGCAGTTCTGCTGATTCCCCTCTTAACTTCTGTGAGATTTGATAACTCTTATCATTTCAGGATTGCTCTGCCCAAGGTGTCCTCCAATCTTCCCATCCCACAACAGTCCCTTTCTCTTGGCAAACAACAGGTCCAGTGGGGCACCTTCTCTATTTGGTTCCCTCACCAGCTGCATTAGAAATTTATCTTCCACACACTCTGGGAACCTCCTGGACTCCTTCCTCTCTAGGATATTACATTTCCAGCAGCCATCTGGTAAATTGAAGTCCCCACAAGAAAAAGGGGTAGCAATCTTGAGACTGTTTTATGGCTCTGTGTTCCATGACTCCCTAAAATCAGATCAACAACTGTGTCAGTCAAAGTGGGAAAGAGCAACTGGCACTGAAAAAAACAGTGCAAATTATTTTGCTGTTTTGTTGCTAGGTTAGCAGTCATTTGCAAAAATCAGATTTACTGGTTTTAAAATATTGAAGGAGATGTCTCAGATGAAACTGCATGCATTCAATTAATGTGTTTCCAATGCGAAACTTGTTTTGACGAATTTTCTTCCCTGAGTCTTCTATATTCTGGGTAGCTTTATTAGTCAAATAATATTGCACATTCTAAAAGAAAAATCAAATTCCATTAAAATGCAACTTAGACAAGAAAAAATGTATCTAAAAATAAAATAACAACTTCTACCAGTTAAAAGAGAACATAATGGATAACTGAAATAAATTTGCAATAAATCAAGAAAGAGCTGAAAAAAACATTAAAAAATTATTTGCAGAAAAATTCCAACAGAGAGGCTCAAAGCTTCTGACATTGCTCATGACTACAAGAAATTAAAGAAATAGAAAGCAGATGAGCTGGAAGCATGTCATATGATGTCACCCTGAACTTACTACCCTTTGCTAGTATCTTTATAGGGCCAGGAAGGCTAGGGATCTAAAAATCATAGTTAGCTGGTTAGCTAGACTCTCTGGAGCTTTTCCAGGTCAATGTCACACTTGAAATAGGCCTGCATGCAACAAGGTGAGGTCAGCCATGGTGCTCTTTAGCTAAGCCTATTGTGAAAACCCTCAAAAACAGAGATGACAAACTCTCAGGGAAGACCTGCTCCAGTCCTGCACTATCCTGGAGAAAACTCCCTCCCACCAGATTCCCATGTGTTAAGATCACTGATCTTCAGTCACATAAAACAAACAATAAATTTTAAAGTTTTGATTATCTTCATTTAGAACCAGATGTATTTTAATGGCTTTCATGAAGCTTATAAATTCTTTTGTTTTCTGTACCCAAACCACTCACAACATGCCATTATTTAAATCACTAATGATATTTAGAAATATCCCTTAAATGCATTTAGTTGAGACTATAATCCAACATATTATAAACCATCAGTGATTCTACTTTTTGTCAACCAAGCAGAAGAAAATAGAATAGGTGGTTTGTTAAAAACCACCTTTTTGACTCAGAACCTAACATCTTGACTCTCTGCATATTGATTTTCCTCTAGTACAAATCACTCTCCCACACTCAGACTGTCTGCTTGGTAATAGGGCAGAAGGGCAGACATGATATTACTTACAGTCTACTAAATTCCCTCTCCTGCTGTTAAAACCTGGCCTACACTTCTGGGTCTTCAAACACTCTGACATTTACTTCAGGACGCTGGAGATGCTCCTGAAGTAAGGAGGCTGAAGGCTGCCAGTGGTGACCTCAGTTACTTTAAGACATGAATGATACTCTTTACAGTTACCACACAAGTTCTGCTGGGTGGAAGAAGAAAATCTGGGGCTACAAGATGACATACAGAATATATTTACTCAGAGAGATATAAAATAAAACAGGTGAATTTTCCACCACAGTCTATGTGTACATGTGTCCTGATTTTGCCTGGAAAGTCAAATTAAAGTTAATTTTCTTTCTAATAGACAGTACAGTGCTGTGTTTTGGATTTAGGATGAGAGTGATGCTGACAATATGCTGATCTCTTAGCTCTTGGCAAACAGGGTTTACACAAAGTCAGGAAGTTCTCAGCTTCTCCCACCAACCCACCTGCAAGTAGGCTGGGGGGCACAGGAAGCTGGCAGGAACTACAGCTGGGATGATCCAAATTGGCTAAAGGGATATTCCATACCATGTGGTGTCATGCTTAGTACATACACTCAGGAGAAAGTGGGCTGGGGGCTGCTGCTCAGGAACTGGCTGGGTGTCAGTTGGCAGCAACTGTACTGTGCACCACTTCTTTTGCAAATTCTAATTATTATTATTCTAATTGTTATTATTATTATCCATTCCTTTTCTGTTCTACTAAAAAGTCTTAATCTCAACCCACAAATTTTACTTTTTTTTCTCCCCAATTCTCTTCCCCATCCCATTGGGGTAGGGGAAGCAAGCGAGCACTTGTGTGGTGTTTAGCTGCCTGCTAAATTAAACCAGAGCAACCAAACTAGGAGAAAAAGCACAGTAAGCAAATGAAGAGACAATAAGTAGCTGATCATACTCCAGACGTGCTCTTATGAACATGCAATTTGCAGTAATAAAGTATTCTGATACTGTCTGGCTGAAGTCATGAATCAATAATATTGATCTGTAATACCTTCTACTTTGCTGCGAGTCGGTTCTTTACACAAAGTCCTTGGGTTAATTCCCGTGCACTGCCATATCACATTACAGCAGCCCTGAGGACACGCTGCTTATCTTGGAATGCAAGAAGCCAGTGGGGTGTCCCTTTTACCCATGGGTGCAGTGTAAACACCGAGGCAGAACTGTTGTTGCGGTCACAGCAGACCTCTGAGTGTAACAGCGGCTGATCATTTCTTGCTGGAAACTGCTATGGCTTTTCGCACTTACAAATATGTATACGCCACAAGGTTTTAGACGGTTTCTGATTTTATAATACCTAAGGACAGGTCCATCAAAACCAGAGATCTTTCCTTTAAGTAAATGCACAACCTGCACTGTGATATGGTGTCAAAAAATCAGATCTGCATGGATCTGCATCTCCATTACGTACAATCCTGTCTTTGTTAGCCAGAACAAGGGTAACCAGGGACACTCAGAACAGCAAAGAGCAGGAGAAAGCCTTGATAGCAACAGAATGTGATGCAAACACATATTACTGCGTGGAATCAGCAATGAAGGTTTACTAGTGCCAGCTCATTTTCAACCCCACAGTCCTTCCTCATGGGCACTCCCTCACACCTGAGGTTTGTGGAATACTTGTGCCTTGCAGAGCACAGAGCTCTCCACAATTATGCAAGTTTAAAGGCTTCTGTTCTCAGTTCTTGCCTGAGAGATGATTCACAGCACAGGTAGCTCACATGTCTCCTCCCGTGGCCCAACTGAGTGGTAAAGTAAATGTACTATGGGGCAACGCAATTTTGCCAGCGTGGGTGAGCAGCACCCCCAGTGAACACTGCAGATAGCTAAAGAAGACCAGGCCTACACCTAACTTTTGCCCAAAAAACAGTGTGTGCCTTTCACCGACAGGCAGAGAAGACAGGCAGCCTGGTACCCTGTGTGGCAGGAAGAGTGAACCCTGATGCCTCATTGCATCCTGAGCGTGGACACAGTACATGGTGCCAGGCTTTGCCTGCAGCCTGACCCCAGCTCTCCTCTGCCAGGAAACAGGCAGCACACAGACCAGACATGAGCTGTATCAGTTTCACAAAACCATTAGGGTTGGAACGGATCTCTGGAGATCATCTAGTCCAACCTCCTGACAAGGGAGGGTCACCTTGAGCAGGTGACACAGGAACACATCCAGTGGGTTTTCAATGTCTCCAGGGAGGGAGACTCCATAACCTCCATGGACAACCTGTTCCAGTACTCTGCTATCCACATTGTAAATGTCATGTTGAAGTGAAGCTTCCTTTGCTATGGCCTTTGCTCCTCATCCTGTTGTCGGGCACCACAGAAAAGAGTCGGAGACCGTCCTACTGACACCCATTCCCTAGATATTTATATGCATGAATGAGCTCCCCTCTCAGTCTTCCCTTCTCCTGGCTAAACAGGCCAAGCTCCCACAGTTTCTCCTCAGGAGAGAGATGCTCCAGACCCTTCCTCATCTTTGTGGCCTCTCCATCAGGTCCCCGTCCTTCTCGTACTGAGCAGCCCAGACCCAGCACAAGTACTTCAGACTTCAGGTTGGGACAACCTGTGTCCTGTCCCTTCTTCCTAACAGCCCATACCCTGGTGCTTTTGCGGCAGTGCGGGGCCTGGCGGAGGCTCCGGGGGCTGCCCATTCCCCGCGCTCCGAGCCGGGCCCAGGCACGGTGCCCGTCCCGCTGTCGCTCCAGGGCACGGCTCGGCTCCTCCCGAGGCCGCAGCTCCCCCGCGCCCCTGCCCCAAGCACCGCCGGGACCCCAGGCCAAGGC